GAGAGAGAGAGAGAGAGAGAGAGAGAGAGAGAAAAAACAGGGAAAAAGAGGGAAAGAGAAAGAGAGGGAGAGAGAGAAAGAAAGAGAAAGAGAGAGAGAAAGACATACAGACACACAAACAGACAGACACTCATGTCGCTGACCTCCATGTCCCACCCCAGGTGTTTGTGTCACTGGCTTCTCGGCCTTCACCATCTTTGCCTCCGACGACCTCGGGGAGGTCAAGACGTGGGCGATTGCCGTGGCGGTCGCCCTGGGTCTCATGATGTGTTTCTGCGTGGCCGTCATCTTCCTCCAGCCTCAGAGTTCTGCTTCCCTGGCCTTCAAGGTACACTCTCTCGTTGAAGTTTTTGTTCGGGTTTCAGGGATGCCAAGTGTCCGGTTTTTCCAGGGTTTTTTGGGGGTTTTTTTTTCATCCGTTGGAATTGCAAAAGTAAGGGGAGAGGTAAGAGAGCATACGTTTTCTTCGATTTCATTATTTTGACGAGAGCCTGATTCCACTGCGCTGCCTCACATATGTTTTTGTTTGCTCATTTAAAAGCTTTACAAGGTTCAGTTTAGGTGAGATGTGATGCTCCGCTCATTTTCATTTTTTTTTTTCAAAAATCATTTGGCATCCCTGCTGAAGTTTTACAGCACTCGTAATACTAATTACTGACTGCTTGCTTAGTGTAAGTGGCTTTTTTTCTCTCTTTTTTTGGGGGGGTAAGTGTTTTATGGCGTTCGCAGCTTCGTAAGGTCATATGAGAGCGCGGGACACACCAAACATTTTCAGTTGATAAGAAATTTAAAATTTTGCCCTGGTGTCAGCCAAATCCTACTCTTATCGATTTTGGACAAACAAAGGATCTTTACCGTGCACAAATTGTACACTGGAACTTAGAGATTTTTCGCCCTTGTCCGAGAAGGCTAGCTGTAGATCTTACCTACCATAAGATCAGGGGTGTGGCTGAAAGACAGCAGAAAGAAGGAGCCAAGGAGAAGCAGTAGAAAAACTGCAAAAAGAGTCAGGAGCCCAGAGGAGGTGAGGGGGTAGGGGCAGAAAGTGGAGACGAAAGCAGAAGACAGAACATTGTTAGTTAGAGAGAGGAAAGGTTGTGAAAGGAGAACATTTTAGAGAAGAAAATTTTCCATTGCTATCAGGATTCGAACCCGGGACCTATTGAATGAGAGTCAAACACCATAACTTCTAGGCCACGAGAGCCCCTGTTTGTAAGACTGCTACATGACACGTTGAAAAATGACTTATGACAAAGTCTCACACTTAATTGCTGATATCTGTCCCTGTCGTTTTATGCAAAAAAAATTCCAAAATTATGCAAACTGAGCCCAAAAAAGTGAAATTATGTGATTCTGATCATTTTAACAAAAAATGATAAAGGAAAATAATCAGAAATTATTCAAAAAATGATCAAATTTTGCTAAATTATGCGGGGTGCATAAAACCACGGGGCCGGTGGTAGAAACGCCCAAGATTAGAGGGTGTAACAAGAGAGTGACTTCTGTAACACTCAAAGAAAAGAGGGAGGAGAGATACGGATGATAGATGTTTGACAGGGGAAAAAGGAGCAAAACACACCAGAGCACCTGCCAACCACCAACACAAATGTACATCATATGCGGAAATGAATTTATGGTAAAAGATTTCATAAGGCATCATCACTTTATAGGTAATAATCATAGTTGAGCCATACAAAATGTATTTCTTCATCTTCTTCTTCTTCAATCTTCTTCTTCTTTCTCTTCTTCTTCTTCCTCTTTTTTTTCTCCTCCTCCTCCTCCTCCTCCTCCTGATTTTAGTTATTATCATTGTTATTGTTCTTTCTGTTGTTATTACATTGAATTGAGACGCAAAGATGATGAAGAAAGATATTGCTCTGTAACTGTTGACCTAAGAGTAGATTGGAGCCAATGACCTTTGTAACAGTATTATATTTTGGACCATAATATTTTAGTGTAATGATGTTGTGTGCCCTACAAGAGAAACTATTCTACTGTTCATGCTTGAGGAGAGCTCTTCATCTTCATTCAAGGGAACTCCACTGGGTGTGCGGCGGCTAATGAACATGGCGCCTTGGTTGTTCAGTGTCTTGTATTATATTTAAGGTAACTATGGTCTATCTTGTTTGATAGTGACCATCCACATCTTTACAGTGGGTGGTTGGCGGGTGCTCTGGTGTGGTTTGCTTCTTCTTTCCTATCCTATTAAACATCCATCGTCTTTTTCTCCCCTTGTTCTTTTTAATGTTTGTTACTCTCTTGTGACACCTCTACTAATCTTCTGGCGCTCATATGGCTTTATGCAGTTTGCGAGCGCCGTAAAACTTCTACTAAAACTAAAACATCTTTATAACCATTGTACCATTGTGCCCCCAGGTCCCACTGGTTCCCTTCCTGCCAGCCATCAGCGCCCTGGTCAACATCTACCTTATGCTCAAACTTTCGCTGATGACCTGGTTGAGGTTCGGTATCTGGATGCTCATAGGTAGGTCATCGTCATTGTCATATGTGTCTGTCGTCATATGTGTCGTCATATGCGTCGTCATACGTTTTGTGTCATATATGTGAGACATGGAGGTCAGCGACATGAGTGTCTGTCTGTCTGTCTGCCTGTATGTCTTTCTATTTCTCTTTCTCCCATACGTGTGATGTGTGATCCAAAATGTTTGCGCGTTATGCTCCGTGATCAAAGACCGCTTTGTTATTTTTTTTAACCATCATCCCGTTTGCTGTTTGCCTCGTCAAATTAATTTTCGTTATTCTAAATATTGCTATTCCATTCCTTGGATTTGTTTTTCTTTACTTTAAGTTCAGTACATGGGTCAATTGCTCAGTGTGAGGCTCCGTCGTTGTGGTGAAATCAGGCGCTCGTCAGAATAGTGAAATCAAGGAAACTGGCATTTTTGTGTCCGAAAAAGGTTGATTGAAGATACAAAAATGTAAATTTGCAGTTTCTTACAACGCTCAAGCTTTGAAAATCGTCAAATTTTGGCAGCCATTTTTTCGCTTATTTTTTCCTCTGAAACCAGGCGACCCCCACCTCCTTCAAATCGCAAATATCTCGACTTGTATGCTGGGACATTTCAGTAACCCACTTTCAGCACTTTTTAAGGACCCCCCCCGGGCGAGTGTTGAGTTCCTGCGTGCTGTCGGCATCGCTGACTGTTTATGAAGCCACAGCGCCAGAAGAGAGAGAGAGAAATCGCAAATATCTCGACTTGTATTCATGATGTTGCTGTATTTTTTTCAACAAAAGCAAGACAAATTAATAAACGTTAAAATGATACTAATAATTCCACATGAACAAAAATTGGCGAGAGCCTGAATCTACCGCGTCGTGACACAGATGTGAAGCGTGCTGACAGAATATGTTACTTCTCGGATTCAAGCCTTATGGAAATAAATACATCACGCTTATAATTATAGGTGAAGTTTTACAATTTATAAGTATTAAATAATGAAAGGCAGCATGTTATAGTTATAAAGAATAGGGTATCACAGTAGAAAAATCTACAAATTTGTCCCAAGTGTTGATTTTTGGCCTATATCTCCATTTAAGGGTTGGGAGAAGTAGATGTAACTCATTTTGGTGGGTGGTTGGCGGGTGCTCTGGTGTGGTTTGCTTCTTCTTTCCTATCAAACATCTATCTTCTTTATCTCCCATCCTTTTTTTTGTGTGTGTTTTTACTCTCTTGTAACACCTCTAATCTTCGGCTCTTATATATGACCTTATTGTGTTGCAAGTGCCGTAAAACTCTTACTAAAAGTAACTCATTTTGTCAAAACGCTTCATAAATGGTCTATGGAGGAGTCTTACTCTAAGCAGTTGGTATGTGGGAGTTCGTTAGTGCACTAGTTATGAATGAAATACATTCTCACAACACAGACATCATGCTAAAATATTTTGTTTCCCAACAGATTTAATTAATTCTGAAATATGGTTATTTATCAGACAGAGATCTAATTATATTTTGTTTGTTTTTGTCATAAAACTATTTTAGCGTATCATTGTCGTCAGTAATTTTAGTCTGAAGAGAATAATTCTAGTCACCAACTTAAGTCATTTTCTCCACGTCTCGGCCTGTCTTGACCTTGTGTGGGCCTTTCTTCCTCAAAATTGCTTTTCAGAATGTTTTTAATCATTCTGACAGCTGCTTGTTTTCATGTTTTCTTTTTTGCCTTTTGAATCTAAAAGAAATGTCTTTAAAAAAATTTGTTTGTTAATGCTTTCTGTTTTCCCCGTCCTATTTGCTAGCTTGTTATTTCCCAGTTTTCTCCAATTTTTCTTGTGTTTTTCTGCCTCATTTTTCCTCCTACACCCCACCCACGCTTCCCCCTTTCTTTCCCCTGTACAGGATTTTCAATCTACTTTTTTTACGGAGTGTCCAACTCGTCAGAAGGCAAAGTGTCTGCTTCGTCATCGTCGGCCATGTTGTTTCGCAAAAGTTCAGAGGCTGACAGCGACTCCACGACAACCACGACAACTTCCTTTTCAGAGGATGCCCTTCTCGTGAAGAATGAGACGTTACCCAAGTATAGCTCCTAGACAGAGGTCAAAGTGTATATGTATTCAAGTGACGTACAGGGTACACACCGCGGGCTGAGGACGCGGGTTGCCGTGCCATGCCATATTTTCCTGAAGTGCTGGAGAAATGTGGATGTGGATGTGGATGTGGATGTTCCATGCTGTGTTAATACTCCTAAAACTGGGAACCAAGGTCATGGGAGATATCGTGTGTTGTTTAGCTCGACACTAACAACCCAGAAAGTTCTGGAAATTGTTTTCAATTAACTGTTCGTGGGGTTTTATGCACCCCGCATAATTTAACAAAATTTGATCTTTCTTGCTTAATTTTTGATTATTTTCCTTTTTCATTCTTTGTTAGAATTAACAGAATCGCATAATTTCACATTTTTGGGTTCAGTTTGCTTAATTTCAGTTTCCTAAAACCGTGGGGACTGAAACTAAGCAGCACACATATCCGTCAGAGTGGAGGGGAAACTGCCTAATAAACAAATGTGAGGCTTCGTTGGGAAATCAGGCGCTCGGCAAAAGACTGAAGTCAAAGACACCGACACAGACACAGACGTATTTCTGCCCATAGAGCTTTTTTTATCAAAGCTTTTTCTTTTTGGCTTTATGTCCTTTTATGTCCATTTAGAAACACATTTATGTGTGGATTTTAATGGAAAAACATCGAGCAAAGGCACCACAAACGTATATTTCTCTCAAGCTTTGGAAGTCACCTAACTTTGGCGGCCATTTTCTCGTTAAATTTTCCTCTAACAACACTAGGGGACTCCCCACTTCCTTCAATAGCAAATATCTCAGCTGCTATTCAAAATGGGTGGGCGATTTTTTTCATCCAAAGCAAGCCCAAATGAACTAGATTTTTAAGACAATATCAATAACTCCATAATATATACCCAAAAAGTGATGACCGCCTGATTCCACTATGTCACGACACAAATGTTACAGCTGCAGTTGTACTGAAGCCTGTTGTTAATTCTTTGAAAATCACGTGTGCCTCTGTTTGTTGCTGCATTATAATGTGTATCTGTCACGGGTTTCTGGATACATGCTAGTAGCAGCTACTTATAATATAGTGTAAAGCGCATAGAGCCTGCTGCTGAGCGGGGATATGCGCTATACAAATGCTATCTATTATTATTATTACTTACCAACTTCTGTGTCACTCTTTATTGCTTCTTCACCCAAAGACTTCTTCTTCATTCATTCTTGTTAAAATGTTCTTATGATTCTTACTACATCCTCCTTCCTTCCCCCTTTCCTTTAGTAGCACCCAGTATACAGACAGTCAACATTGTCCGAGACGGCCACCCGTTGTCAAAGAGAAAAGTGCTTGTCTTAGACAGGTTGACTTATTGGATGTTGTAATGTAGAAAAAATTGTGCAAAGGGGGAAGTCGGAGGTGTGGCTGTTTGAGAGTTTGAGCAGATGATTGTCTTATACAGGCGGCTGTCAGAGCAGGTTTGACTGCTTTCATCGTGTTCGACCTTGGCTCTTTTGAGGAGACTCCCTTCAAGATAGATCTAATACAGGGTGCCCACTACGGATGGGATCGACCATCGGCCAGGCCGATCGCCCGAATCGATCGCCTCTAAGATGTTCAATAACAAACGTGTTTGTTTTCAGTTTCAGGCGATCGAGTCGGGCAATCGGCCCGATCCAGCCGTAGTGGGCACCCCGTATTACTGCTCCTTTGTCATCTTACTTACATCTTCCCACTTTCATATGTGAGGCAGCGTGGTGGAATCAGGCTCTCGTCAAAATGATGAAATCGGAGAAAAAGGAATATTTCCACAAGTTTTAAAGGCACTCAATATGTAATTTTCAGTTTTCAAGGACACTTAAGCTATTGAAGTTGCCAAACTTTGGCTGCCATTTTCTCATTAATTTAACCTCTGAAACCAGGCTACCCCACCTTCTTCAATCGCAAATATCTCGACTTGTATTCAAGATAAATGGGTATTTTTTTCAACCAATTAAAGACAAGTGAACAAGCTTTAAGATGATACCAATAACTCTACATGCCCAAAAATTGACGAGTGCCTGATTCCACCACGCTGCCTCACATATGTTACATGTTTTCCTACTTACTTATTTCTGTACTCACCTACTTAATCACTTTTTAACTTCATATCTACTTACGTGCTGAGTAGCAAACCTGCGTACTTACCTTCTATTAGTCTGATGAGTGTACGGTGTGAATATTTTTACCTACATACATACCGGTAACTACTTGACTGCCTGTCTGGTCCTTAATACTTTGTTTCATATCTTGCTTTTAGATAATAATAATATTATCTTCTTACTTTCCCACCTACTTACATAGTTCCTCTCAGGCCTCTTTTTTCTTCTTTTCTTACGAACAGTTGAATATGCATTTAGATGTAAACTGAATCTGCAGGACGGCTGAATTTTCTAGGTTTAGCCATGGTTTCATTTTAGACAGAATGCCCGAATAACGAATGAAAAAATTGGGAGTTCTGTTTTCTTTTGGTTTATTGCTGTTCTCAGATTAGATTTATCTGTGTTAGAAACTGACTCCATTCTACTTCCTTCCTTGATGAGGCCCGTTCGTCTCCATGGGGCAGAGATCATTCTTCTTCTTCTTTTTCTTCTTCTTCTTCTTCTTCTTCTTCTTCTTCTTCTTCTTCTTCTTCTTCTTCTTCTTCTTCTTCTTCTCTTCTTCTTCTTCTTCTTCTTCCTCTTCCTCCTCCTCCTCCTCCTCCTCCTCCTCCTCCTCCTCCTCTCTCTCTCTCTCTCTCTCTCTCTCTCTCTCTCTCTCTCTCTCTCTCTCTCTCTCCTCTCTCCTCCTCCTCCTCCTCCTCTAAATTGACATCCCAGTCTAGTGTGAAGGCAGCTGTTTGCCACAGGTCCCCCAGGCCCCCATAGAGTTTTGGCTCTCTCTGCCTAGGATTTGAACAATATTTCTTTCTGAGTGCCTCAAGCATTAGGAGGGCGGGCTTGTACTTCTTGTAGCAGTTTCTTCCCTGTTTGCTTGATCCAGCCATCTCTTTGTGTATGAGCAAAGATAGTACATAACAAGATGGGCCACTCAGCCAAAAAAGTGTCCGCCGGAAGTCCGCTCTTTGCTTCAGATGGCGCTGCAGTCTGTTTTGAAGCTCTCTTTCGTTTTTCCAGAAGAAGAATAGGAATAGCACCTCCTTGCGTGCGCAGATCGACTGCTGTTCATCAGCAGTTCGGGTTCGTTCAGTGAGGAGTTTTAGGGTTTTAAAAAATTTTAATGACCTCTCGCCTTTCATTCTAAAGTCAAATTAAACGAAGAAAACAATCACCCTTCCCTCCGGAAGAGGTTTTTTGTCAGCGTAACCATTTTAAAAAAACGTTCTTCCGAAATTTATTAAAAAATTTGCAAGGTTTAACAAATTAAACTCGAGTAGGGTAACTCTGTTCGCAAAAGGTGCACTTTTGCGAAGAGGGCGCCACCGAATTTTGAGGACGCTTTTTTAATTGGCTCAAAGAGAGAAGTGGCCCCTCTTGTTATGTAGACTCTTTGGTATGAGTTACGTCTCTTTGCCTTGTTCAAGAAAAGACGTGTAGTCGAACCTGCTTAAACGGCCTCCTGAATAGACCAATCACCTGTACCAACGGCTGTGAGTCATTTTTCAATATGGCACATGATGGAGTCTCACACTTAATAGTTATTATTATGGACAATTTAGCAAGAATCTCTCATGGTGTAAAATTCATCTTCATGCCTGTACTTGATGTGTTCAAGTTTGAGATGATACCGGTACCTCTCTGCCCACATTCAGCACTAGATTCTATGTCTTTGGTTTTCATATGTTTTGTCAAAAATCTGGATTAATCTTTGCTACCCTGTTTAAAACTTTTAAGAATGAGCTAAGCTTTCATCTTCTGTGACCTGTAAGTGCCTACTGGTTTCCTTACCTTGTATATTATACAGAACCTCAATGTTAGAAGAGTTTATTTATTAATATGTTCTGATATTCAAGTGCCTAAGCCATTATTGTTGGCTTTTTGACAGATCCCCTTTGGGAAGAGTTGGATTTCCCATGCTGAATTATAATGATGTGATAGAGAAGTGATGGAGCTTTGTTAGAAATAATCGCTCAACTGTCGTGCAGTGTTCACTTAACTGTCGCGTAATGATCGCCGCTCAAGTGTTACGTAGTGACTGGTTTTATACTCCCGAATCTCTGTTATGTTTATGATCTGAGTGTGTTTTTCAATCGTGTGTGTTAAAGAGAGAGAGAAAGAGATAGACGGAGAGTGTGAGCGTGTTTGTGAGAGAGAGAGGAGAGAAAGAGAAACGGAGAGAAAAAAGGTATATAGAGAGACTTTATGTTTATTTGTCTGTGTGTGTCAGGGTGTACATTCATGTGTATGCTTTTGTGTGCGTGTTGGGGGGGG